AAAAAAAAAAAAAAAAAAAAAAAAAAAGGGAGGGGGGAGTCCACAACTCAGTAACAGGTAGAGAAAGAAACTTAGAAAGGATACTCCTGAACTTTCAGGTGGTAAAAAGAGATGGTGGGAAATCTGTACTTTCAGGCTTGCAAGATTCTGTTAATGTAGCCTTACAATAAAGTAGAATTAGTTCATCTTGTGTTTCCTGTCTGGTCTACTTGGGAAACTGACACCTAGGCAGTGTCTCTGGGCCCAGTCTCCCAAGATCATTCTCACATATCATTACAGGTCCCTTCTGAGACATTTACCATGCCCTCATTCCTTCTGCACACTCAGCTGCCTCTTATCTGACCGTTGTGTGGCTCTACTGGGCTTCTGGGGGAGGAATGGTGAACGAAGACATCTCCGTGAAAGTGGAGCCAACGACCACAGCAAACACTAAGGAACTGGTGAGTAGACTTATTCCTTGGAACCTCTCTGGATAAGGAAAGGACGGGAGATTGCCCACATGTGCTCCGGACAGCTGTTCCCCGGGAGGAGATTGCAGGACAGCAGTCTCCTGTGGGTGTGAGCACTGGGAGACAACAGGAACAGCCATCTTGCTTGGAACCACAGTCGGTGCCTTTTAAAGGACACTAAGATTGCTAACCTCACTTTCTAATCACTTTTGGAAATTTCTTATTAACTACTTTTAAGCTATTAAAGACCTTCGGACTGACAAGTTTGAAAATGCAAGGTGAGTTTGCCTTCAATCCTTAATGAAAGAAAATTTTAATCATAAGCTTAAGAATTTAAGAATTTGAAATAAACAGCAAAAAGCTAAAGAAGATTTTGATCTTAGAAAGTTATAAACAGACTAAGGGTCCAGATGAATTTGGAATATAGAAACTTTTACAATAAGATTTTGGAATTAATTATAAAGAATAAAGAGCTTCTTGTAGGAAACAGATCTGTTTTGGTTTTTGAAAGACATAACAAAGAAAAGTAATTTTATTATTTTAAAAATTGGACACTAGAGGGGACTAAAGATTCTAGACAGAGAAAACAAACACGCCTACCTTTCATGTTAATTAACTGGGACCTACAAAATGATGCAAAATGTTATAACATTGAAAATATTAAAGTAAACTTTTGAAGAAGGAGCCAGAAATTAGTAGCCACAATATCAACAGTGTCAGTCATAATGTCTGCCTCTATGGATAGACTATGTCCAAAAGATATTATTGAAGAAATGACAGATGTGGAACAAATTTTATGTGACAAGACAGAAATGCTACCAAAAGTGGATTTACAAATGATAAGCCAAAAGAATGACTTGGAAAAGGATATCTCACTGGATATACAAAATAAACTGGTAGATGTTTTAAAAATCAAAAGGGAAATACAAATGATAAACCAAGAAAGTGACCTAGATAATTTTTTTTTTAATTGGATTTACAAAAGAGGCTGAAGAACTCTGTGCTATGGGATAAAGAAAAAATGAAGAGAATCAAATCCTACAACAATATTTGAATTAACTAAAGATTAAGATTGTTAGAAGTAAAAAGAGGGAATATAAAGTTGGTTTATTTGATCAAGGTTAAAACAAGGTATGTTGTTACTTCTGGCAACCCTTTATGGACTTTCTGCTGACACCAGAACTGAAAAGATTATGTGTTACAAATTTGCCTCTAGATAAGGGATGAGATATGGGATGAAGAGATAATTGTTTGTAACCTTAGAGGGGATAAAGGATCACTAAATTTGTTTATACTTGTTGTAATGAAGGTTAGAGGTCAATTCTTTACATATTTCTTTTTTCTTTTTTATTATATTCTTACTTTTTCTTCTCTTTTCTCTTCTATTATATTCTTACTTTTTCTTCTCCCTCTCTTTTTTTCTTTTTCCTTGCACTTTTTCCTGTTCCTTTCTCTTCTTTTCTTTTTCGTTAAGTTTAGTTTGTATTAGATTTTACTATTATCATCAAAATTCTTAATAAAAATTATATATATAATCTGTGGCTCTTCCTCCTGTCTCCCAAGGTTATTCCCACATATCATTACTGTACAGTACTGGATCTGAGATAACCTATTCCCAAAATGTTTAGAGCTTTAAAAATTAGAACCAGCATGTTGATTAGGAAAATGGATCGGGTGCCACTGCAAACAGTAAACCACTGCTCTAATATATGTTCATCTGCCAACTCAGGTTAACAATTCAGCCACCTTGTTTTAAACTAAGAGCAGTCTCCAGGACATTTTGAAAGACAGCCTTGCATACACTGCTTTCCAATATTCCAAATCACAAGGGATGGGAGTATCAGAGATAAGTAATCCAATTTCATGTTTCTACATATAATATGATTTCCTAAGCATGAAAACATGCAGGTAATATGCTCCAAATAACAAGAAGTAATTAACGGCCAGCAAATTACTCAACTAATTCAATTTATAGGAATCACAAAACAAAAAACAGAAAGTATAAAAATATATTTATTATTTTGTAATGTGGTTGGCAGGGTGATGTTCACTGCAACTTCCTTATCTGCAGTGCAAACCAGACTAAGGAAGTAGATTAGATAATATGACCTACTGATGAATTACTGGAAAAAAGAGAGAGAAAACCAGTTCAGAATTGTGAAACACATACTGTCAGCAAAATCATTTTCTTTCCATTTTCAATGGACCCATATTAGCGCTGAAGTAGTTGCATACTTTCAGAAGTGGGGTGGTGGCTGGTAAGCAAACTATAGTCAATTTAGCAGGTTTAATTAAATACTATTAGTAGTAGTGGTAGGATGAGGGAGCATCAGCAGGAGGCTTTCACATAAGGGCGCAAAGAAGATGAAGCTTAGAGAGACTAGTTTGCTCCAAATCATCTGCTGAATTGGTGGCAACTTCCTGGCTCACAGTTCAGCCTCACAGGTACAATAGCAACTGTTATGCCACATTCTCAACTCCATTTCGAAGCTCCTGCTGATTTTGAGTTCAGGTTCCCATAATGTTTATTTGAAGTAAATGAGGCAGCATCTATGTCTGATACAAGAATGATTCTGAATTCCAGAAGCAAATCTGTGAATAGGCCTGCCTGACCCACCTATCAGCTTTTTTTCATATCATGTAGACTACAGTTGTTCAGATAGGTTCTTAAAAATCAGCCTTTCTCAAACTGATATCTTCCAGATGTGTTAGATAGGACAATGAGGATTTAGTCTAACACATCAGCTGGGGAAAGCTTTTAAAGGGCATAATTTTCATGTCTTGCTTGAAATTCATGGAGCTGCATCCATGCTTAGTTATACTTAGTTATCCAATGAAATCAAAGAATGGAACTTGGTCTTAATTGGCAAGCAAGGTTACAGAAAAGGTGTTTAGTGAGCAAATGTGATGCACCTCACCCACCAATGATCTAACCAAAGAAAGGGCAATCACAGGCTGCATGCAACCCCCATAAGCAAATTATTTCTGCCCCTCTGCTCCCCAAGGACTCCCAACACCACTGAAACTTGGGAACACAGTTGGCAAATATTGGTAGTGAAATTTCAGCCTGTTTTCTACATTTTTAAGTGGCTTGACTGACAGAAATGGGAGTTTTTTCCCTATGAGAAGCTTGTACTCTCATCTTCAACATTAAACCCCTCCAAAACATGGGATAAAAAATATCAGCCATGCTCCTTCCAGTGACATCAGAAAGCCTGCTGTCCCCCAAAAATCAAGGGACCAAGCTGCAGGTCCCAGCTGTTAACCACTGCCGATCACTGATAATAATCCAATATACAGAAAAATTCAAAACCACTAACTAAAAATTCGAAGCATCAGGTGTGCAACATGTCTTTACTGATGGAAAATAGAAAAGATACCATTAGAAGAAAAAGTAAAGTAAATATTAAAAAGGGACTAGCTTAATAACTATGATAATTAAATGTAAGAGTAACTCTGATATCCATATATTTTTGCAGCTCGCTCTGTATACAGATTTGACTTTTTTAAAAGTACAACATTTGTAGGGAGTTTCCTTCTATACTCCTTCTAAGGTTAGCTGGTGGTTACAAAAATTTCAAAAGTATATCAAATTAAGATCAGCTTCTAATATAGACAAGCTTTTAGAAGCACATTCTGGGGATTTTTATTTAATAGTGCAAAAATACTGATGTTACCTTTTGAACTCTTCAAGTAATGGAATAAATCAGCAGGAAGCTTTTGTTTGTTTTTTTGTTTGTTTAAAAGAAAACCTGATAAACATATCAGAAATTCTTCTAGTTCTCAGAATCTTCGTTGTGGGCCATTTAAATCCTTATAGCAATTAGCCAATCCCATTTGTTTCCTTGTTATTACTGTTGTTCAGTCCACTACTGCCCTGGATGGGTTGGCAAAGTAGTTACTGAGGCTTCAAACCTGACCCTCAGTTCAGTATAGATTTCCAGTTGTGTCCAGAGACTTGCTACACTGAATCTTCTATCTGAGCTCCATTGACCAAGCTTGCTATCCCCCAAAAAATGTACATAGCTGGATATCTACATCATTCACATGGCTTCAATTGGATGCCAAAAAAAAAAAAAAGACTGAAGGCGAAAATGAGCAAGTTAAAACAATGGTCATCGTGGAATAAACACTCTGAACATGAGGAAGTTTACATGACCTTCTGACAGCAAAAGAATTTCGGCTGGTAACCATCAGCTTCTCAAACTCATGATGCTCCAGACACCAATAAGTCCATGAAGTTATTTAGCAAATTATATGCTAGACAGTAAAATAAAAAACACATTTGCTCCCTGGAAACTTCTCCTCCTGCTTCATCAGAAGCATCTGTCAAATTCTTATGCCTATCAGACATCTGCAGAAATGATTATTGGATGGCCTTTTATCCAATTAAAGAAATCATACTCAGTTTATCTAATTAGTTTTAACCAACTCAATTACAAATGTACAATTTACACAGACCCTGCACCTTCCTGGTGCAACTCTTTTTAAAAATGTTATTGTATTTGTAAAAAGAGAAATACAAAGAAAACGATATACAAAAACAAATTAAACACTAATATCCACAAATTAATTATGAAATTGTACTACCAAAACAAGAAGAAAATAAAAAGAATAAAATAAACAGAAAACATTCCTAAAAAAATAAACATAGTAAATTAATATAAATCATAGTGCAATTTTTTGGCATGGTTTAGAATAACACCCCATCAAGGCTTCATAACAGCTAAGCAAATCCTGCCTCCTGCTTTATTTACTTTAAATAATACCATTGTTTCAGAAACATGATACTTGAAGTCCAAACCAATCAGCAGGTCTACCATCTTATTCTATATCAAGTGTCACTTGAATGATGCAGTGAATACAGTCAGGTCCAGAAATATTGGGACATCGACACAATTCTAACATCTTTGGCTTATACACCACCACAATGGATTTGGAATGAAACAAACAGAATGTGCTTTAACTGCAGACTGTCAGCTTTAATTTGAGGGTATGTACATCCAACTCAGGTG